CAAATAAATGGCGCTTATAGCTTCCTTTTTTAATCTTTCAAATGAGTCAAACCTTCAGCTGCAGTTGACGTGTCCCATCGAAAGTGTAGGCCATGTTGCAACGTCCTCAAAGTTTTGAGACCCAAACATTGCTGCGGTCAAAGTTGTTGGAGTTGTGTGTTGTAGTTGCAGTTGCATTTGTTGTATATGGCAAGGTGTTGTTGCTGTTGGTCCATGGTAGGCGTGGCCAGGTGCTGTAGCCCCAAATATATGTTTACTTTATGCGATACTCATAACCAACATCGAAGCGAATATTCAATGTTTGGTTGCTCTGGGGAAATCGCAACGTGATCGGTTCGTTTTACCTGTTTGTTGTTCTAAGCAATCATCTAGTTTGTATTGGGATAACGCCCAATCAGGCAAATTGAAAAGCTAAAGCTTTTGGGCGTCCTAACCATTTCATTTCCATTTTGGAAACCAAACTAAAGTGCTTGCGCAATTTTGTTTATCAATTTTAAAGTTACGTAGAATATCCATATGGCAAACGTACTTGCCATTTTAAGCTCTTCACTTTTAGAGTGAAATTATCCACAGATGTTGCTTTTCGTAAGCAAACTAAGAAATTAACTATGTCCAGTTTGGTAGTACTTGTATGCCAAATTGCAATTGACATAGATATGTATGTCCAACTTCCCGCGATTCATAGTCAGCCACATTGCTCTCTTTTTTGCAATCTAAAATCGTTGAACCAACCTCAGAGTGACCAAATCACGCAAAATGCCTACTGATATGTGGAGAGGACATTTTCCATTTTCCATTTTCCGTTTTCCATTTTCCTTTTGTCACAGTTTCACAATCGGGCGGACTTTTCATTGTATTTCATTCTGCGGTGCCCGCTCATTAGCCTCTCATCAATCGCTTAATTTCGAGGGTGCCAACCGCTGGGAAGCCCCTTTTTAACCCCTGTCCCCCCCTGAACCCCCTTTGAAAAAGCACACTGCGTGTGTGTGTGTGCCTGCGTGTCTGTGTGTGTGGCATTGCCACACAATAGCACCTATGATATGCCACCTGAGCGAGCGTTGTACTAGTGCTGCATTCAACGCATTCATTTGTCATACATTTATGCAATTTACCCCATAGAGCCACGCCCACTGAGTGGGCGACGGGGGCGTTGGGCGTTGGGCGTTGGGCGGCCGAAAAGGGAGTGGCACTGCACTGGGCACTGAGCATTTATTGAATTTTGTGACTTCAAGCATTTTACATTTTAAACATAAAGCAAGCCAGAACCAATGTGTCGACCCGATCGACCAGGAGATACCCTGTATTCCAAAAATATTCCACAATAAATACTCCCTAACATAGTATATCAATCATAACAAACATCATTCAATAGTCCTTGCATACTGAAAAGGATGATTAGAGGGTATCCCCGATTCGAATCCGATCTGGAATGCGCCATAGGTCCTGCTACTGTTTGCATAGGGCTGCAGTATGGGTTTCTGCTGTTGTGGGTGCTCGGGTATCGTGCATCGTGCATCGTGTATCGTGTATAGGGTATCGGGTATCGGGTATATGGTATCGCGTACAGGGTATAGGGCTTCGGGTTTCGGGGGCTCCCCAGTAACAGGCCTCAGGTTCGTTTCTGTTTGGCCTTTTCGGCACATAAATTTCCCTGGCCAGACCAGAAAGGACCTGGCTGTGTTGTTGCTGTTGCTGTTGCTTCTGCTGTTTCTGTTGGTATGTTGTTTTTGGGCCTGTCTGCCATTTAGCCGCATTTTGTTTTTCATTTTTGCCAGTGCGTGTGCCCTCCTGCGTGTGTATTGTCGACTGACTCTTGTAGCGCACACACACGCGCACACACGCACGTACACACGTATGTACATACGGTATGCACAACGGAAATGAATTGAAATTTTAAAACCCACAGCTGCGACCGCTTCCTGCGGCAAAAGTAGCACCAACCGACGACACTTCCCAATATACACAGATGTATGTACTTACACATGTCTGTCGCCCCCGCTTTTTTGCCCGTGTGTGCGTGGACTTATTTATGTGTGCGTTCCAGAGAGTTATTTCTATTATTTTTGTTTAACCATTATTGTAGGAACCAAAGTGACGAATGAGCCAAAATTATAATTCATAGCGGCATGTGATTCGAGCCTGTATGATTGATTTAATTAGCAGAGTTTTCCAGCTCGTACTATTACAACTTTAGTTTTTAGTAAAGTTACTGTGAAAAGTGACATCTTACGATCATGTGGCGTATACGTAATTTGCAGGAAATGCGCAACATCTTTTGGGCACTTATGCAAAAATGATTAGTTTGCTTACCATTCACATTGATGTTAGACATTACGCTTAGACTGCAACAGATACAGAGTAAATATTGCGCAATAAGCCAATTAGTGCCGCACACACACAGTGCCACTTAGTTGGCTCCTTGAAAGAGCATGGTGTAAAAAATATCCCTTATCGCACAGCTCCTTTCTCCTGCCGAAACCAATTTTCGGAATTGCTGTTGCGTGCAATTCATTTAAATAAAAACACATACATATGCATGCACATATGTATGTGCCCAGATGTGTGGGCAAACATGGCTATGTGCTGGGCCATACTCGTATGTCTATGTGGACGTAGAAGTTTATATCGTTGATACACTTGGACGCATTCTTATGCCAAACACACACACGCGCAGTATTTAAAGCCGAGCCCGTTGCTCCTTTTTCATTTAAAATTCCAATGTGCCTGCACTAGTCGCATCGACAATATAATTGAGTCCCTCCATTTCATCGATGCCGAATGATGACACATCGCAAAACGTGTCTGTCAGCAAAGGGCGTGAAGGAGTTTGCCAGTTGGCCAGTTGGCCAGTTTGCCAGTTGGCCAGTCGAAGTTCCACTCTTGTTTACAATTTCCGCCTCGAAGTTGTTCCATTTGCAGCAGATAACAGAAAAATAATGATCGAAATGCTTTTATTTTTGTGGAATTTAATAACTCTCGACTGGCGAGCCAATATTCAAATTTCGAGTGTCAGTTTGAGATGTGTCGAGATGGTTAGATAGATGGCCAATAACTTGATGGTCACTGCAGTGGAAAACTATCGAATCGAAGTCATAGAGCCATTTCCGCCACAAGTGCCGTGCGATATTCTTTTTAATATCACCTTAATTGGGAGCCAAATAGGCTGATGGCTTGCAAACAAGTCGCCCTCGTTGCTTTCGCCATATTTATGGACTCAAATATTTCCACTTCATTTCCACTGCTGTGGCTTTTCATTTGCGATAATTGAAGGGGAGGGGGAAATTATGAAGAGCGACACGCGACAAGGTTCATGGGAAATGGCAGCATTTTATCGCCACAAACTGCTGCGCTGCAGTCATCTTCCTCAGTGGACTGCGTCAAAAAAGAATTACACTCGGCCCTTTTATTTTACGATTATTTTCTATTTTAATTATTTACATAAAAATGCTGCTGCCACCAATGATTGATGGCATTGACATAGGGCCGGGGGGAGAGGGCAGCTCGAAGGACTCCGGCGGTTTCGCAACCAAAGCCAAATAAAGATGCCGATGATGACTGCGATGATGACAACACACACTCGATGGCAAATACGAGTATAACGCATACGTACTGTGTGACTGCATGTGAGACCGAGCATGTATAAATTGTAAATCAATAAATAAACGAAAAAACCAGAATCGAACGGGGCTCACGCAGAAATTGTAAATAAATAAAGCGCCCAAAGTGACGCACAGAACACTGCACGAAAACTGCAGCAGAAAGGGTTAAGGTTCAAGAGGGTTAAGGGCAGGAATACACATATAGTATAGACATGTTCGTCCTTCTTTTTTCGGCGGGTAGAGGGGCATATTGTTATTGCTATTGTGCCTGTGCAGCGGCCCATTGTTTATTTGATTTTGTATTTGGTGTATCGCGCACAGCGCAGCGATAAAAATGCTGCTAAAGTATAAATTATGCCAATATAAGTTGCAAAATGCGCGAGATCGCAGCAACAACATGGGGCCATAAGTGAGAAAAAGGGACACCAAAGTTAAGCGAGGGCGGCCAAAATAGTTGGTATTTAAATTTCTCAAGATTTCAAAGCACAGAACACCAGCCATGGACCAAAATGTTGCCAATTAAATGTCTGAAACCCCATTTCATCATGAATTAGAGAGCGCTTTTGGTAAGAAAGTACATCTCAAAAAGTAAGTAACACATTCAGTAAAATAGTTCATGAGATACATTCCTTGCCAACTGCTTCAAAGTTGTACTCCATATGGATTATGAGTTAGACGGCATCTAATATTTTGTAGCGACCCTCGTGCAAAACAATGGCCAGGAGACAATGTAGCCAAAGCGATAAAGGGCCATATTCCCAATACACACACGAGTACAATTCCGTATGGGTATGGGGTTTTTTCGGTGGATATTGGTGGCCATTCGGGTCACGCTCAAAAAATACGCATAATTGGCAAATTTAGAGTAAAATTGCTTGACAAATATGCAAAAAATGTGCAACACACAAATGGGGCGCCAGCTGAGAGAAGCCAACACTTTAAAGGCGAAGCACTAGGAATCCTTATAGGATTGCAACTTTGGGTATTTAGCAGTAAAAAAGATTTCTATTTCTGTAGAATTATAAATTTATGAACCGAAATTCATTCTGAACGCATACAAATTATATGGTCACTAATGCCTGCTTTACAGCGTTGCAAGCTTCCGACTAAAATCAAAATATCCTCTGCAAGGGTATAACAATTACTTAAAAATATTTAAAAATATATATAAATATGTATATACCAATTTTTCACCCTGGGTCGAGCCGGAACCTTGTCGAGCACGTCGAACCTTATCATCCGCTAAGGTTCGAGCCCCGAACCGTGCCAATGATTTATGGATTCACAACCCTGGTATTCATCATGATTGAGCAACCAAAACATTAATTTATTGTCCAGATCAAAACACTTAAACCAGTGATTTCCCGAGCTTTTGCTTATTTCTCTAGTGCAGACAGTGAGTATAGAGCATTGAATTTAATCGAATTTTAATTTCATGAAATACCAAGTAATACACCTACTTTTTAGGTTTCCGCTTTGCCATAATTAACAATAATACATAAAACATTTTTTATTTATAAAGTTTTCATATTTAAACTCAAACTCAAAAAAAAAACTTGTTATGTCCTAGTTTTAATTAACACAAGCATTTCTTGTTTGATATTCTTAGACATCAGAGTGCTTTTTGATCCAGTCCTTGAAGTAGAACACCCTGGCATATCCGTCCGGATTGCTGGTCCCACACCTGCCCACGACGAATCCGGCCACGCCCACCACTTCGTTGTTATATACGGCCGGGCCACCGGAGTCGCCATTGCAAGCACCATTGTCCACCGGGTGGATCAGGCACAGCTCGCCCTCGAATCCAAACTCGATCAGCTCCTCGCACTGCTCCGTCGTTATCGACTTCAGGGTGTTGTACTGGAGATAACGCGGCAGATCTCCCTGGTGCTTGATCCTTCCCCAGCCGGAAATGATGACGTCCACATCCGCTGGCGTGTCCTCGGTGGGCAGAGCAATGGGTTGAATGCTCGTGGACAGGATCAGTGGGGTTTCTAGTCGCAGCAGCGCCACGTCGTTTAGGAAGTTGCCGTACTCCTCGTGGACAATCACCTCGGCCACCTGGATAATTACTCCACCGCTGAATCGGTCGTTGGAGCCCGCTCGAATGGTGAAACGCTCGGCCGCAATCGGCGTAATCACATGATTCGCGTCCTCGTTGGACACACAATGGGAGGCGGTTAAGATGTAGTTCCTGGACAGAATCGAGCCTCCACAGGTGTGGGAGCCACCGTTGCGCAGGGACACCTGGTGGGGAAACTGATTTTTCACCGCATCCTCACCGCCCACCACTCGGCCGTTTAGTTTACCAGGTGCCGACTGTACGGGGAGCACCAGGAACAGCAGGAAGCTGCAGAACAAAATCGTGACTTTACCGGTTGTCATTTTTTCAAATGGGCAATGCCCAACTTGGCGAAGTCTCTTATATGTGTGCATTCGGTGGTTTAGCTTTCTTATCTTATCCATATCTTATCGCGTGAAATGTGTTTTATAGCTACTTTAATGTGCATAAATCTAATCGAAAAATAGTGGCGATTGAAAGGTATGTCATTGGTAATTGTTTTATGGCTTATTGGCTTATCTTGTGGTCAAATCTGAAGAAGTTTTTTTCTTCGACCATTTTTGAAAACCCATCAATAACTTATCGTCCAAATATAGCCGCAGATGTCCGATCTTGTATAGATCCAATTGGATCACCTCTCCCCAACTTATTCGGAGTTTCTTTAATCAAAGAATTAAGATTGCCGACTAAAAAAGAATAAAAAGCGATGTATAGGCAAAGCTTCGCGCTTTATAATATAAATATAAACTGGAATATAAGAATATTTCTTTAACATCAACTGACTAATTTCTATAGAAACATTTGACCATTTTTGCAGATGGCAGATAGTAATTTTAGAATTTTCAGATAGAAAATTTATTTAAAACACGTTTTTTTTTACTTTGAGGTTCTATATCTCAGAATTCTTGATGCAACGAAATGTTTATGCATTTTTTCGTAATGTTTGGTCCCCATCCATTTAATTTTTGCACGAATGTCACAATAATCACAAAACAAACATTCAATATTTGCTACAATATTTTGTTCATGTACTACACTTATGCTACAAGTATGACGTTTCGCACACCCAAAACTCGTGCATTTATTTGGTATTAGCTAAAAGGGATGCAAGATGATTAGAAAAAGCTATCAACATGACTTCTTACTCTGCTAATATTGATTAAATACGAATTTAATCAAAAGCAAGAGAACGCAATAGTCAAGTTCCTCGACTATCAGATACCCCTTACTCATCTAATGGGAATGCGAACGAGAAATTTCTACATTTTTTTAGCCTACCGATAGAAATTGGCAAGAAAAATAATAACATGAAAACAAAATTAAATAATAATTCAAAAGTACTACAGAAACAAGGCATGTTTCTAGATTTTCAAGTTCCTGAGATTGAGGCGTTCATACGGACGGACAGACGGACATGGAAACTATTCTTTTTACGTGTTACATCCTTTTCAACGAATCTGGTATACCCTTTTACTCTACGATTAACGATCATAAAAAGTGCTAAAGTCGCCAACAGCAATGGAAAAGATTATTTTTCACATAATTTTTTTTTCTTTTCCGGACGGCGCCGACATCTAAATTATACAGAATTGCCCGAGCTGCGACACACTTTTTCACGCACTGTTCACTTGCGTATGTTGGAGAATTCTCGAAAAGTGGTTCATGTGCACAAGTTGGTGCTTTTTCTAAAATAAAGTAAGCAAAAAGTTCATAGCATCATTATCTGTATCACTACGAAGTAGTCTGAAGCAGTATAAGCAGCATTTTTGGGAATTACCCGTCTTTTCATTCAACATTTTAAGAGTATCTCATCCCACAAAACAATTTTCTATTGCGTCCATTCCACTCATATTGAAGATTAAACAGTTTTTAATGGGTATGAATATTTGATATGTATTTCACAGTATTTAAGTTAATTTTTAACTTTTGCTAAGACTTATAGCTAGCATGAAAGATGCAAGCTATTAAAAAAAAAAAAAAGATTATATAATTCGGCGAATCTTAAATTGTAATTATTGTCCAGCAGTTATCTAAATGAAGTTCCCGCAGTTCAGCAATGACAGCACTATTTCACATCCGAGTTATTCCTGATCCATGCGTTGTGGTAGTACACCCTGGCATATCCATCTGGATAGGTGGTTCCACAGGCAGACCACACGAACCCGGCCACGCCCACCAGTTCGTTGTTATACACGGCCGGACCACCAGAGTCCCCATTGCAGGCCCCATTGTTGGCCTCGTGGATGAGACACAACTCGCTCTGGATTCCCCAGCCGATCAGCTGGTTGCACCTATCCAAGGAAATGGACTTCAGGGTGTTGTACTGGAGATAACGCGGCAGATCTCCCTGGTGCTTGATCCTTCCCCAGCCGGAAATGATGACGTCCACATCCGCTGGCGTATCCTCGGTGGGCAGAGCAATGGGCTGAGTGCTCGCGGACAGGATCAGTGGCGTCTCTAGTCGCAGCAGGGCCACGTCGTTTAGTAACTTGCCGTACTCCTCGTGGACAATCACCTCGGCCACTTGGATAATTACTCCACCGCTGAATCGGTCGTTGGAGCCCGCTCGAATGGTGAAACGCTCGGCCGCAATCGGCGTAATCACATGATTCGCGTCCTCGTTGGACACACAATGGGAGGCGGTTAAGATGTAGTTCCTGGACAGAATCGAACCTCCACAGGTGTGGGAGCCACCGTTCCTCAGGGACACCTGGTGGGGAAACTGATTTTTCCCCGCATCCTCACCGCCCACCACACGACCGTTCAGGTTACCAGGTGCCGACTGTACGGGCAGTGCCAACAGCAGCAAACTGCCAGCGAGCAAAATTGCTGCCTTGACGGATCTCATTTTCCAAATTGGCAAGCCCCAAAGGCGGTTACCGCCTTATATAGATTGGCATTTTAACTAATTTATAACACTTCCACTATCTGTACTTAACCAATATGTGTACTTGCAATCTGAAAAAAAAAGTATGTATGTCGAGTCGAACGCCAAATTGTATAATGAATAAAAAAAATGTCTACACGTTTTGCTGTAAATGTAATGTGTCCTAGATTTTTTAGCAATATTTTGTAAAATACTGTTGAAACAAATTCTGAGTAGTGAATAGATTTATTTCTTTGAGCTTTCACAATTGAACTCCTTGGTCAGTTTGGCGTTAAGCCTGTAATATCTTATCGATCTATTTTGGCTTTATGCAGGTAGAAATCTAATCGAAATTGTCAACTATCACGCAGATTTTTGCAAGATAAGCTTAACTTATCTTGATGGGGAAATCCATTCTGTAGTTTGACTTTGCAGCATAGAAGCCTTTTGATGGCATAAATGCACAGACAAAAACAAAGACCCTTGATAATTGTTACACAAATGAACCGCCAATCGATAATGAAAAGTTTATTAATACCTCGACTATCAGATACCCCTCACTCGCAGTTCTCGAAACTGGAAGCGATGCAATCTATGGTATACTTTACAAATACTGTATACCCTTTTATTTGTGCGAGGTACGAGAAGCTCTTGCTAATGAGAATGACTCAATATTCAGGTGAATGCCCCCGAAGAAGAATTCTACAGGCATGCCAAGTGTCCCGAAGAATTGGCAAGGAGATTACAGAGAAGACACCTGAAGGACACGCCACAACCTGTAGCACAGGAACAATAAGGGTAAAGGACTGTAAAACGATTCATGATGAATCTATTAGCTCACCCAGTATGGCATTGTTCTTAGGTGTGCGAAAGAGACGGCTTGTGGCAGGCAGAAAGGAACAGCAACAATTGACGGCTGAAGACACAATTAGCGAACGCTGGGAAAGTGAGGGAATTCTCGTCGCTTATAGTACTTGTTCGCTTGCATTCGAATGTTTGTTTGTTTGTGTTTGTGGGCGACTGAGGCTGTGGTAACTTTTTAATTTAATCAAAACGAAGCGAACGCAAAGAGCGAAGAGCCTTCGAAAGGATAAACGCAGACAGAGCAAATGAAATGGACTATCCAGCAGTGCACTGAAAGAAAACATTGATTTGTCACACTCATAAAGAAATGGTACACCACCTGCAACCCGAATATTCCAAGCTCGAAGCCTAATGTTTATTAAAATTCCTCTCTGTTAGAGTGTTCGATATATGAGACAGAAGCATATGAGCGAGACACAACACCTGCCCCAGAAGGTCAATTGATTTCCTGCACACTTAACTTAATTTATTAAGACACCAAAATAAAAGAGAGTAGAGTTAAGTAGAGTCAGTAGAGTTAAGAAACATTGTGAGAAACAAGCCTGAAAGCTTTGGTGGAGGCAATTTTAAGTCGGATTTTCAAAGTGCACTTCACACTACTACTTTTTTTCCAGTGCACTGACAGCAAAAGAGACGGAAGAGACGGCGACCGTCACCGGAGTTGGCGTAAAGAATATATCAAGGTTCGCACTTAATTATTGACAGTGGCCGGCCGGATGCTTGAGGTATTCCCTCTTGATAAAGGGAATACTAGTGGGAAGTTCGGCTCCTTAGGCAATCCCACTCAAAATGCTTCTGTTTATGAAATGTAATTATTTGCATATGTATTTCTATTTCATTTTGCAAATCAATAAATACTTTCGCTCATGGAACACAAGTTAAATATTTCATGTATTTATACACTAGTTAAACATTTTGTTAACTTTCTGTTCTTTTTCATTTAACTATTTGAATTATTTTGAATTACAGAAGGTTAATCGATGATTTCTGCAACTACTCACTTGAACTTGTCCTCCTTACATCGAGTGTATTTCAGCTTCGGCTAGCGGAAATGAGCTTCTGTTTTCCTTTAGCATTTTCTTTTGCCCTTTTCCAGGTTTCCATGCCATTCCACGGTCTGCGGTCAGTGGAAGGAGAGGGGGCGACGGGGCAGCGGGATGAGGTCTAGACATTTAAATTATGCACGGCATTCGTTCGACCTTTTATAGAACTCCCAGCACTGGTCCAATCAAGAGATTTTTAATTGCAAGCGAGTGATTTTAAAGTTTAGATTCAAATAACGCAATAAATACCTCTTATCTTAATTGCTGTAATTGTAAAAATAAGTATCATTAGACATATATAATTATACCTCTTATCATAATTGGCGTAAGCATAAGATTAAGTATCATTATACATATATATTTATACCTTTTTTCATAATCGATGTAATTGTAAAAATAGGTTATGGGTTATACGAGTATGTGTATTAAAATATGTGTATCCCTCAGAAATACAGCATAGAAAACATAGCTATGCACAAATAATGTTTCCAGTGTTTTCCCAGTGCATTCACAATACCTCAAATACTCTTGATTAAATTTTTTAAAGTTATGCAAAAATGATTCGGTTCTGGAGCGCTGCCTGTGCGCTGCCATTTGCTTTTTTGGATTTATCTTTCATCTTTGGCAAAGTGTTTCACAACTATTTCACTGCACTTGAGAGTGCAATACTGTTGGGAGGGGGCGTGGCCGAAGGGCGATGGAGCGGCGCTGGAGTTGCGCTGAGTTGGGTAAAAATCTTTCGAAGAACTCAACTCCCTTTACCGTTGGCGCTGTTATCGAATTAAATACATACATACAGACAGACAGACACATATATGGAGGCAGCGCCACAGGGCGATCAATGTGCAAATTTATGGAGCGAAAGGCGGTACCGTACCAGTGGGGTACGCGGAATGGGGGGCGGCTGTTTGTTATAGGTAGGTTGGGCGGTACGGAGGCCAGGCAACAATTTTGGCAGCCGAGCACGTGAATTGAGTCCAAAATTTTGCGCACTTGTGCAATGATAGCGTACCACCGAAAGCCAAAACCTGCAGCATCAATCCTCGGAAAAACCCAGCTCCTCCTCCTGCTTTTCAGGACCCTCGAACTCCACATCGAGCGACTCCGAAAAACCCGAAGCCAGGTAAACCATGTACTCCACCAATTGCATGTATGTATGTATGTACATATGTCCCTGCAGCTTAAATATGCACATAGATGTGGCATAGCCAAAAGGGGGCACTGAGGAAATGGGCAGGGGGATTTCCCAGGGGCGGCGAGCGTTGGCCATTTGGCGCTGCTGATAGCAAAAATATTAGTCATTGCCTTTAAGTTCTTTGGCTTTTGATTAATGCAGTGGACATTTCTCAGAGGCTGGGCTTAAGCGAAGGATAAGATGCCCTTAAATTACTTTATCGTGCAGAATGCTTTCTAGTTTGTACAGTTCCTGAAATGGAAACGTTCATACGGACAGAGGTTCATACGGACAGACGGTTGGACGGACAGACGGACATACTTTATAGTGTCGAAACCGTTTTCTTCTACCTCTTATTTTTTTAACCATATTTTTTAAAGAATTTAGTGCACCCTTTTACTCTGCGAGTAACTGGTATAAATAGTACTAATCACATTAATATGTAACGTACCCGATTATGTCATCATGTAAGGAACTACAAAATCAGGTAAATTATTGAGATGTATAAAAGACTGCGCAGGGTAATAGAGCCATTGAAAGCCATCGAGGCAGATACAAAGCCACTAAAAGCTGGCAAACATGAAGATACCCCTCAACTTAAGCTACTTTTATCGTCTGCAAATAACAAAACAGTCGCAATCGAATCAATTCCCGTAATATCCGAACATGACAACTCATTAGATCTATAATAGATAATTGAAGCATCATCATCGGCGTGGTGGCCATCATCTTCAGCCTGCAACGGAGTCCCGTGGAGAATGGCCAAAAAGTTATTGAACTGTTGCCATTACGCTTCAATTGATTGTCGAGTGCCGGGGGCGGTGTGAAGCGGGGTGACTGACTGGCCAATTATGCCCCCGAAAAGGGGGGTATTTTCGAATGGGAATGGCCATGTCCGCTGCGAGAACTCCTCCTTATCGCCATTGCACATTGCTCATGTCCATGTCCACGTTAGCGACGCCTCGCGACTCGCGACATTTGCCAAAAAAGGAGGCGTATAGCCACTCACATTGCTGCAAACCCAACCCCCACGTCATTCAAGCCCACCAGCTTTTCCAGCTTTTCGGGCACTGAAAAAACTTTTATTCTATTAAAACTGCCTTGCAAAAAACTACAATGTTTTCATTTGACTTAACTTCGTGGTGCTTTGAAACTTAAAGGATTAAACGCAGAGAGCGAACAATAAGAATTATTTCTATCTTAGAATATTACTATTGTATTAGTCCGATTTCGCTCCAAGTTATTCAAAATTGTTGTAAATAACTTTCAGACTTCGCCAAATGATAGGAGAAAGTAAAACAAGAAAAGCAGAGCAGTGTTACCAACGCGCTATAGTTTTCATCTCAGTGTGCCCAAACTGCGATAACAGAGCATCAACCTCGCTCGAGACAGAGAGCAAAGAAGGAGGATGAGAACTGTGAAGCATAAGGCGGGAAAAGGGGCGGAAAAGAAAGGAGAAATGGAGAAAGATGAAAGGGAGGAGTGGCCTAGTGCATGTGCCACGTGCAGCACTTGATTTAGTTGCCGCAAGGAGTCAACGACATGCGCCAAAGGACCATGCACCAGGCAATTCAAATTAACATTGGCCTGGCCAGGGGTCAGGGGCCCGGTGACCCCCTTGCTTCCCCTCCTTCTCATCCTGAAGCACTCACTACCCACAAACCGGCCACCCACCACCCACCACCCTTCATCCGCTGACAGCTCATTTCACTTTCTCACTACTGGCGCATGATTCCCCATTGGAGATTCGACTCCGTAATGAAAACATAAAAATCCTCCCATACATATATGTGTTTTGGTATGCAACCGAAATTAATTTCCATTTCGTACATTTAATGGAATTTACTTGTTGTCTGTCAGCCCAAAGGATTGGCCAGGAGCTCCCTTTTCAGACTGATCCAGACCTGCTCCACCGCC